TTGAGATTTATCGGCTATAATAATTCCATTTCATTCTTAACGGAAGTATTCCCCGTTCTATCATTGTAATGTTGACACATTCAATATTATTAAACTTTCGTTTTAACACTTGTTTAGCAAGTTTGGTGTGTTTAGTTTGTGCAAAAGTTTATGAGAAAGGCGGTTTTTGTTAGCAAATAAATCTTGACAAGAAATCAAAAAAAGCTCCAGATATAAAATGGACCTTTATAATAAACATACCACATGAATAGGTGCTAATATTTAAAAAAAAAGCTATAATATGGTCAAGAATTTGTCAACTGGTTTAATATAACTCAAGATTCCAAAAACTCAATAGTGTTGCGAAAGCTTTTCAATACATCCATATCTTTGAAAACTGACTTATAAAAGATTTGTTAACGCCTAAACATTTGACAATTTTTTGAATCGATAAGCATTCTAAATTTTTTTTTAGAGTTTCAAGCTTCGGAAAAGGTTTGGGTTTCGGATGAGATTTCAAGTTTCGGATGAGGTTTTGGAAACTATAATCCGAACCTGAAACTTTCGGATTTGACAAAAAAGTTTCGGTGACCAACTCTAATGTTTATACAGTCAGACCACTCTAAATGCAACCTCCCTAAATGCATAGTCTATGAAAAACCTTTCTAAATGCACGGTCTTGTGTATGATACATATAGATTTTTATCTCCCTAAATGCAGGATTTTTTGATTTTTCATATACTATGCATTTAGGAAGGACTGACTGTATTAGAAAATGTTCTTTGTACTCATGAAATAAAATAAAATTATATCAAAAACATTTTTATTGATTTAAAGCTGAATATATTTGATTATTAAATATCATTAAATATTATTCATTCTAAATCATTTTAGTGAATAATTAATTCGGGTTACCCGACTAGCAATGGATTGATAGATACGGATATAACTTATACTATGAAATTAAATAGGCATTGTGTAATAGTAAGTGTTGTGAACATGATAGCTTAAGTTAAATACTCAAGTAATAAATGTTCTTTATACTCACGAACTATATTGAGATATATTACTGTTCAGGTAATGGTAAATGTCAATATCATTTTTTGAACATTTCAATTGATAAAAGATATTTTACTTACTGTCCAACATCTGACTCATACTTAGGACCGCCAAAAGAAGAATCTACCTTGTACATTGCAAGTTACAATACAAGAACAAATGATGTTGAATGTTAATAAGGCGCTGAGGCTTATTGAGCCCTATATGTGTATATATGTATATAAGGTATATACTTGTATTAAACTGTTAAATTGACAATTAGCAAGAAAGTAAACTGACCAGAAGAATGACTAAAGTCATGATAAGTGGCATAGTAAATTATCAAACCGATTCGAAAGTGTATATACTTATATATTTTAAAGACAGGTTCATGAAACATTAAACAGATAATTAGTGCAGATCTTTGCTAGGAATCGAAAAAAAAATAAAAATAAAAAAACTAAATAAATACTCACAGGTAAAGTGCAATAGATTTTTTTTTCGTGAAACCTACATTCCCTTTTGTCAATATTATCATACGTATTACAAATTCGCATAGATGCTCCAGAATAAATAAACATAATCTTAGCAATGTTCAGATCGAATTACTCGATTAAATAGTGAATGTTCACTGCACATAACGTAAATGAATATATAAGTAATAGATTATCATGATTTAATCAATAAGTAATGAAAAAACATCACCCGAGTTATTAGATTAAAACTTATTCACAGCATTTGTCGCCTATACGTTATTTGTGTTAATTTATTAAGTCCACTAGAGATTCTTTATATTTATTATCATATAATAAGTTTTCCCATATTACTTAGTAAATTTCTCCACATCTTAATGCAATTTCTTATTTTTCTCAATTTCTAGCAATCTAATATTATCATTAT